TATATATATATAACATATTACAGAACTTGGAGGTGTAACTTACAAACCAAGAATAACTTAAAGGTGAAAGGAATCACCTTTAATGAATTTTGCTAGGACCCTGAGGAAAATGGACTTAGGTTTTTGTCCCTGTTGTGGATAAGAGATCAATTTAGGACTATTTACAAAAATCTATTTTCAGAGATGAGTTAGGTTTGTCACCATAATAGCTATTCTTCTGAAATGTGTCAATATCAGAAGGAAAGCAGCAAAGGCAGAATAAGGATAGTTGTTAAACATATCCAAGTTGAGTAATAGGAGTTTATTATACTAGTTTTGCTTACTTGTATATTTGGGATTTTCCATAATAATTTTTTTAATGAAAGTAAAAAAAATGGGAAAGATATATAGTGTGTATAACTGATAAAATTTTTATCCAAAAATATAAACAACGTTTATATATGTTAAACATATATGTTCTATAACCACATTCTATTTATTCAGTGGAAAAAAGGGATCAACAGGCAGACAATGAAGTATTGATAATAAATCATTACACAGAAAAACCTGCAGCTTTGGTATTAGTTAGAAATAAAATTAACATGAAAGCATTGGTGTGTGTTTATTAAGGTAGAAAAAAAATTGTGAAACCTTATGTTGGCTAGAATATTCACTTATGTACTTGGTAGTGACTGTATCTAACTAGAGGGAAAACTAGCAATAGACGGTATTTATAAAATTGTTCACTCACTGTACCTACTCTTCTGGGATAACAAGTACCTAAGACATTAGTGAATGCTACTATAGAATAGAATTTCTTCTCTAAAACGCTGTCGATTTAGGTGGCCCCCCAAATTAAGTGGCCTTTTCAGTCCCTTAATGGTTCTATAACTAGCAGTAAACACACTCTGTGGGTCAGGCACTGTTTCCATTCATTTAGACCTCACAACTTGAGGGTAGTGTCTATCTGCATCTTACAGATGGATTCAGTCTTTGCAAAATGAAGTGATTTTCCGCAAATCACGTGTTAATAATGAGCTCAACCAGGATCTGAGCCCAAGCAGTCTTATTTCAGACCCCCTGCTTTAAATCATTTCTCCAAACTCCCTCTCAGAATTAAAACCTTGTATCAAGTAGTTGACTTTCCTTTTGAGGGCCATGTAATTGCTTTAAGATGGCTACTATTAACATTCAGCTTCATTTTAGTATAGCTTCTAGATGGTTTTGACCATAATGCTGATGGGAATAAGCAGTGAAACAGATCTTCTGATATATAACTGATGTCATTGTAAATAGGTACGGCCTTTTTTGGAAAGCATTTTGGCAGCATATTTCAAGAGCCATAAAATGTTCACATTTTTTGACCTAGTTAATGCCATTTCTGGGAATCCTCTAAAGAAATAGTCTAATATGGAAAAAGCCATAAGCACTACAGTGATCACCACAGCCATGTTTGTAATAGAGCAACTGGAAGCAACCCTGAATGTTCATCAGTAGAGGAATGATTAAACACACCATGGTATATTTACTTAGGCAGCCAATAAAAATGAAGTGTGATGCAGCACAAAGAAAACAGGCATCTTGAGTTGTCAAAGTAGCACACAGCAGTATGTTTACAAAAATTACATTCTTTACAAATATGAAGAAAAGATGGAATAGAAAACTGTGTGTAATATTTTTTCTTTCTGCTGTTTTTCAAGCTTTTTGTAATATAAATTTATTCCTAACCTTAAGATTTAAATCACATGATTACCTAGTGTTTTTGTGTATTCGTCTCCTAACCCTCACTAGATTATAACAACTGCTTGATTATAAGCTGTGTGGTTGCAGGCTGCGTGTTAAAAAACATGCAGAGAGCATCACTGGACACAGGCAGACTTCAAGAACCTTGCAGGTGCTTCATTTACTGGTTGCATGAACCTCGGCCAGTCACTCTGTCTCAGCTGACTCATTTGACCCATGAAGTGAGCAGTGCAGTTTGCAAAGCATGACTAGAGTCTTTGGAGTCAGGGGACCTTACTGTGTGTGTCTTTGGCTCTTAGACAAGTAGCTCAAACTTTGTAAAGCTCAATTTCCTCATCCATAAAAATGGAGCTAGTGAGATCAAGGTCTGGCACTCCTTTAGTAGATGCTCTGAAAATGTTCCTTCCATTCAATTATAGCCCTTATAAAGTGTTCCTCACCTTTCTCTTTGCATGACAAGAGCAAATATAAAGTCTTTCAGCTAACTTCTTTTGTCTGAAATCTTTTGAGCAGCAGCTTTTACACGTCAGTCTTCTAGAGTAACTTGTTATCTGTAATTTAGAGTTAAGGATGAAGGAAGAAAAGATTTTGTCATTCAGTATGGCCAGCAAACTTTTCAGTTTTGTTGTAATCCTTTTCTTATCTGATTATAAAAAAAAGTAAGTGGCCATTGTTGAACATGTGAAAAACGTGGAATCCTGGAAGAAGAAAGCTATGCGATAATCTTCCCACCAAGAAATAACCATTATACATTTCATTTTATTTCTTCTTAATTTTTTCTAAATATGACTTTTTTTTTTTTTTTAAGTAGAACTATAGGAAAGCTCTCATTGGATCGTTTGTATGTTTGGGGCAAGTTTATTATGACGTTTTCTCTTTGCTTTGAGGTAGTGTACCTTTTTGTATTTTAATATTCATTTTTGAGAGGGAGACAGCACGAGTAGGGGAGGGGCAGAGAGAGAAGGAGACACAGAATCTGAAGCAGGCTCCATGGTCTGAGCTGTCAGCACAGAGCCCAATGCAGGGCGTGAACCCACAAACGACAAGATCATGACCTGAGCCGAAGTCAGACACTTAACTGACTGAGCCACTCAAGCACCCCAAGATAGTTTACCTTTAACAAGTAATTCTTATACAGAGATAAAGACCAAACTAGCAATAGGGAACCAGATGGAGGATGGGGTAAGGATAGCTCTGTCTTAATTAGTAGGACAATTTTTTCTGTAATTCTGATACCTGTCAAAGAATGTACTTATGTAAAGTATAATTACCCGAATCATACTTCCTGGACTTTTTTAGGACAATTACAATTTTAAATAACTTGTGATATTTTCATTGCAGGTTATCTTGTACCATTTCAGACCATGAGTTGTGAAGTTTGGTCTGGAAAATATAATCACCAGACATAAACTTGGAATAAAAAAAAAAAAAAAAGCTTGCAGAATAACCACAATTTCTTGGCTCTTGTCCTTATCATTTTTAGAACATGCAGTTTTAAAAAATCGTCAGTCCCTGTAACATCCTCTGGAGAAAAGGGGGAAATTTATCCAGTGACAGAACCAACAGAGCAGCAAATACCTAGAAAGGCAGCCTGACCTACTGTGTCTGTGCAGGGCCAGGCATTGATGCCACATTACCCTGACTTGTGTTGAGCTTATACTGAAATCAGAAAGAGAGAATGTTACTTGTTGAGGGATTAAGAACGTTGATCCTTCCATTTCTGGGCTTTGCTGTTCAAGGCAGGCTTCTCCGGAATGACTTTAAAGGTGGGGGGAAAGGTGTTTTCCTTCTTCCATTTCTTTTCTTCACAGCAGTAGTAGAATTATGAAAGGTGACAGGGTACATCCTATATAAATAATTTTCATTGTGGCATATCTGTCATCCCCATTACATCGAGGAAGACATGAGAAATGTTTGAGGTCAGTGTATTGTCTTGCCTCATCACTCTCCTTGGAATATGCCACTGTGGCTTGTGCCCTTTTCACTTTTGAGGTCTGCTTCCACAGGCAAGAGACTGTTGATTGGTTGGGAGTAGGTGCCCCTCACTCCTGCTTTAGAATCTGCACATCAGGACAGTCACTTGTCCTTTTGAGTCTTGTCTTCTGACAAGGAAGGGCCATAACTCCTTACTGATACTTGCTTGTTAACCCTTCCCAGTCATTTCCTCTTTGAGGAAAATCACTTATTTATGGGAGAAAACCTAACCTATAGTACAGTTTGAGAATCCAGATTAGAATTTAATGGACCTCCACAGCGTTAGGCAGTAGTTAGGTGCAGTGGGATAGTAGAGATTTGGAAGTGTCGTGTGGGAGTGGGACAGATAACTATAGCCTGTAAACCTTCTACTTGGAATAACTTTGGTCTCTTCAAAACTGTGTTTGCCTGAGATGGAACTTGGTACTCTGTGAAAAATGATGACCTGAGATTTTTGAGCTTCTGAGGGAAGTGGTACCCAGAGCTGTAAAAGGGAGGAAGCTGCATAGAAAGTTAGCTGAATCTACATGCTATTCTTATGAGAGAAAATGATCAGTTCTACTTAATTCACTATATCACTTCTTAGATTTTTTCTATAACTGATTATTGATAAAAGTGATTTTATTTCTTTCAGTATTGCCTGTCAGGGCACCCAACCTTACCGTGCAATGTGCTCAAATTCAAATCAACTACTATTATGTTGGACTGTGGACTGGACATGACTTCCACTCTCAATTTCCTTCCTTTGCCACTTGTTCAAAGGTATGTGCTGCTGCATCTGAGACAAAATGAGATTTTGTTTTTCGAAAAATGGTACCGATTAGCATAAAGATTACTAGTACCTTGTGTGTTGTCCTTAGTTTACTTTGTTCCCTAAAAATGTTCTTTATCAGAATCATTTCCTTTGGCTGGGATGATGGAAAGTGTTGTATTGATTTATTGATTGACTTCTTTATTATAACTTCTGAGCTTCTGTAAAATGTTCCTGCAACTGCTCTATGCAAGTGAGGTCATGTATATTTCATCTTTCTTGCTAATTCATATAAGAGCTGATAAATGGTCAGCTGATGAGCCCAAGAATTGAATTTTAGAACCATTTAACTGCCTTTGCAGCGACTTGACATCATAGAGCCTGACATTTCTTTTTGATAGGTATCTATGGATTATATTCATAATTGTCAGCTGTAGATATCATAGAATCATATATGAAGCCACAGTCCTTGTCTTAAAGCAGATATCTCAAGACTATAGTCACCACTGTTTACTCTTACTAATACTTTGTCATGGAAATCGGCTTCCCAGTCTGCTGTTATTTGGAAGCAGCAATTTATAAGAGAAGTGGGTAACTTATATAAGCAAATATACTCCCAGTAATAAAAAGTGGTATCACATAGGAGAGACAGAAAAGCTATCTAAAACAGATTTAAGAGCTTAAAAGCATAGCAGCCTAGGTAAACCATCTAATATACCTCATTCCTGAAAATATCACCGTATGCAGTGATTATTCATAATGATAATCTCCTGAACCATCTAGAAAAAGTATAATTAAAAATCCATCTTGGGTTTTGTTTTTGTTTTTTTGTTTTTTTGAGACAAGGAATACCAATAAGGTAAAGGGGACAGAGATAATTCCAGATTACATTTTGTGTAAAGCTGATAAAATTCAGTTATAATCACACCTAAAACTTAGAAATACATTTATTATCCACAGATACTATCTATCTATCTATCTATCTATCTATATATATATATATATTTACAACTGTTTCAGAAATTGTAGGTATCACGTATATTTCTGTACAAAAGTGACTGACAAGTTATTTCATACTAAAATAGCCTGATATTATTGTCTGTTTATCCCCCAAACATTACAGTGTCCATTTGTTTGTTGTTTATTAAGAATCTGCACTGGACTGGAGCAGGTGATACAGATCTAAACAAGACCACTTTCTTTTTCTCGTGGAGCTTACATTGTGTTGGAGAGAAAGTATTCCACAGTTGAAAATTTCATTATACTTGTGTTAAGAGAACAACTATACACTTGTGATAATTACTAAAAAAACAAAATATAAGTACTATGAGAGTTTCCAAGAGGCGGCCTCTATGCACTGCGAAGTCATGAATTATCTAGGTGCTCCAGTCCTGAATTGGGCAATTTTAGCTACATATTTTCCCTTTCGTGTTCACTTTTGTCTTTACCTAATTCTGTGTTCTCATAGCCCTGGCTCAGCATTGGAATCCACTTCTATTCTCTCTTCCCCTTTGTCATTGTTCTTCTCTCAGAGGGAAGTTATACTAGAGGGATGATTGGCAACCCATACGTAGTTCCTTAAAAAAAAAAAAAGTGTTTTCTGTTGCTCAGGCCAGAAACCTTAGAGATACAGTTGGCCAAAATAGTATCCCCAGTCCCTCCCTAGCCCTTCGTCCTGCTTTATTTTTCTTCATAGCACTTGTCCTTACATTATATATACATATTTAGTTTATATGTTGTCTGTCTTCTCCACTAAAAGTTTTGTAAGGGCTGGGATCTTTTTGTTCACCACTGAATCCCCCTTGCCTAAAATACTTCTTGGCACGTAGTAGCTACTCAGTATAAGATTTGTCCTATGAGTGAATCTTCTCTGGATTCCTGCCCTCTTGAAGTGTGATTTCATTATTCATTATAATCTTTTCTTTATCTTGAACCTTCCCATCTTGATTCAGTTCTTCCCATTTAATTATGCTCAATTACTTCTAACTTAATATTTAAAAAAACCTTTTTTAACCTACTCTCGACTCCACTTTCCGTTTCAGCATTACTAACTCCTCTCTAGTCTATGTGCCCACACCACCTACCAGAACACCTCTCACTAGAATCACAAATGACAGTTCTCATCCCCACTTGGCCATTCAGCATTGTTCTCCTCCATCATAATGCATTCCTGGTTCTCCTCTTCTCTAACTCTTCCTCTTCTATCTACCTTGGAGATTCATCTTTTTTTGACTGACAATCATATATCAGAATTCTTCAATATCCAGTACTTAGCCATCAGAGTATCCACCAAGGAAATTTCCTAAATGCTCAGGGCTTTGATTACCATCTAAACAATAACCTACAAATGTGTATCTTTAGTTAGTAATCCTCTTCTGAGTTCCAGATTCATAAACCCAAAATGCCTACTGAGTTTCTCTCCTTGGATGTGGCTTTGGAGGTACTTCAAAACTCAGCATGCCCCAAGCTCAGCTCATGAATTGATGGTTCAGAAGAGAAGACCCTCCCAGACCTGGTTATCCCCCACAGTACCCTATCTTAATGACTGGCATGCTGTTCTGAAAGCCAGAAAACTGGGAGTTAACTTAGATATGCCACTATTTCTCATTCCCCGTATCCAGTCTTTCATGAAGCCTTGTTAGTTTTACCTTCTCAAACAGTTTCGAATCCAGTTACTTCTCTTTAAGTTCTGCTGCAGGTGTTATCGTATTTTACAGGCATTACTGCCAAGGCCTCCTCATCAGTGTCTTCAGTTCTGATCTTGCCCTTTTCTGAATCCAGAGCCATTTTTGTGTAACTTTTTCATTTTGAAATCACTTCAGATTTACAGAAAAGTTGCAAGAATAGTACAAACATCTCCCAGTTACTCTTGTTAACATTTTATCATATGTACTTTTATAATTTTCTGATTATACATATGCATACAACTTTTTCTGACCCATTTGAAAGATACAGACAGGATGCTCCTTTACCACCTAAATACTTGAGGCCTATTTTCTAGGAAAAAGGAAATTATTTTACATAACCACAATACAATAATCAAAATCAGGAAACTCACACTGGCACTATGCTAGTATCTAAGCTGTCTACCTTCTTCGTATTTCCCAAGTTACACCAATTCATATTTCAGTGTAATGCCTTTTATAGCAAAAAAGAAGAATAACAGTAGTGTTCCAGGATCCAGTGCAGATCACACATTTCATTTAGTTGTTTTGTCTTCAGTCTCCATTAATCTGGAAGAGTTTTGCAGTCTATCTTTATGACCTTGCCATTTTTAGGAGTACGGGCTAATTATTTTATGTAATGTCTTTCAGTTTGGATTTGTCTAATACCTCTGCATGATTAGGTTAGGATTATTTTGATAGAAATACCACACAAATGGTGGTATATGTTATCAGAATGCACATAATATCAATTTTCTTCAACATTGTCTTGTAGAAATATACATCTAGTCTTGTGTCTCACCTGTTTAAAACGTTTCACTGGTTTTCATCGCTCTTAGGATAAATACCAAGTTCATCTTGGTATATTACGGTTTATGCCTACCCCTCTAGTATCTTACTTTTTATTTCCTTTTAGTTTCAAAGAAATCATATTTCTTGCCTGGGAGCAGTCACACTCATTTTTTCCGTCAGTCGTAAAGGCTCTTCTCCCCCAGCCCCATCCTGCTTTCCCTGAGCTACTTCACAGAAGCTCGTGTTTCAGGTCATTTATGACTTCAGTTTCTATATAAGAAGGACATAAAGATGGTATTCCGGTCAGGTGAAGGGGACAGAGTGTGTGGGCCTCTTCTTGAAGTTTCATTTGAATAACCTTCTATGTAAGATGTCCATGCCAAAGGCTGGTGAGAATTACTGGAGGAAAATATGGGTCTTGTCTTTCTCTGTTCCCTCCAACCCTGTCCTTTGGCCCAGTTTCCCCTTGAATCTAGGACTGTCCAGATCTCAGCTCAGTCATCAGACCCAGAGAAGTCTTTTGATGCTGCCTAGACCAGTCTCTCTTTAGGGAATTTTGTACCATCCTGCATCATCATTTTTAGTATCTTCTTCTCTATTTGTGTGATTACTTGTAATGTCTGTCTTCCCTGCTAACTTGGGGACAGGTATGTTTTGTTCACCGTCATATCACCAGCATGCCTGACACATAAATATTCATTAATGAATGAGTGAAGATGAACAATACTCCTACAGTACTACACCAAATATTGAAGTTCTTCCCTCCATGTTCCCTTTTTTATGGAAACACTTCCTCCACCCTCACCTCCTAACTCCTATTCCCAGCTCTTCCACAACACCACATGCTGTCAAAGGTGCCCTTCCTATGTGAACCTGTAACACTTCTGCTTACCCCATCATGCTTTTATTTTATTCTGTTTAATTACTGTTTACCATCTCGCTTTACTAAAGTGCAAACTCCTAAAACTCAAGGTTTATTTTGAACTGTCATTACATTACAGTACATTGTTATGTGCACTTTGTATACTTGGCTCAGAGTAAGCTTTTATTAAATATTATTTGAATAAATGAATGTAGTCATGCCTCTTAGATTATTTTCTGACTATAAAAGTAATACATTTCAAAATAGGCATTTGGAAAAATGAAAAGTATAAGGGGAAAATGAATTGCATACCATGTTCATTCTAACTTTTGCTGTTTTGTTAGTTAACAGATTACTTTTAAATGCCTTGGGTTATTTATTTACTTATGGGAATATTTTACCTAATTTTTATACTTAAAAAAATATTTATTTTGAGAGAGAGAATGAGCGGGAGAGGGTAGAGAGAGAAGGAGAATCCCAAGCAGGCTCTGTGCTGCCAGCACAGGGCCCAACATGAGACCCAATCCCACGATCATGACATGAGCCAAAATCAAGAGTCAGACACTTAACCGACTGAGCCACCCAGACACCCTGATAATATTTTACTTATTTAAAAAAAAATTAAATAAACAGGGGAAGGGGATTAAGAGGCACAGACTTCCAGTTATTAAGTAAATAAGTCACAGAGACGAAAAGGACAGTCATTAATATTGTAATGTATGGTAATCTGGTGACCACAGTTCTCATGGTGAGCATTTAGTAATATGTAGAATTGTCAGATTAATATATTGTACACCTAAATCTAATTTAATGCTGTCATGGGGCGCCTGGGTGGCGCAGTCGGTTAAGCGTCCGA